CAGGCAACTGTCCATTACCTCAGTCCACAAAAGCACCACTCCCCATTGACGGGGCACCCTAACATCCCCCAACTCCCTTTTTTTTTTACTAATACCACAACACCTGAGATCTACCCTGGCATTGTTTTATTTTAATGCAATGAAGCAACCACCCTATGGAGCTTTAAGGGGTATGAGGAGCCTGTTACACAGTGCAGGTATACCTAAAGGGACTTGGGGGGAATGATCTGGCAGCATAACTGGGAGGGGGACTGGATGGGACACACTGTATGCCACATATGGTTTACTTGCTTCCTTGTGGGGGGGGGGGCTTCCTATTCCCTTAACCCACAGGGGTTAAAGAAGCATCACTGGTGAGAGACATCACTAGAAGGAGACCCTTCCATGGACACATAGGAGTATTTACAGATCCCTTAACTTGGGGTTCAAGGTCTGGGGAAGGATTGTTTCAGATAATTGGGGGGAATGGAATATGAGCTTTTGTTTCTGCACTTACTCAAAATATGGTTTGTAAATAGTTTTAGAGGGGTTGTCAGACCTGGAGATGCCCTGTTGTCTTTCTATTAAAACTTACTTCTTGATTGTAACACATTAATAAATTTAGAAAAATAAAGATTTTGAAAATAAAATATTATAATAATTGTCAATCCACCCTATACATTGGTGTAGATATACATGGATGCATACTGCACGATCATTTCATTATATACGTTCCTTTTAAAATATGCTTTTTTTATATATATATATGGATTTGTTAATAATACTCTATTGCAAGACAACATCTTACATGCTCCAGCTTCACACACATGTACATAACAACAAATGTGTCTTAGTTTTCTGTTTTTTTGCTCTTCACGTACATTTCCCCTTCACATCCATTTTAATATAGGGCTGTTTTGGAGGAGTACAGTTTAGGAAGAACATGTTTTAGGAAATAAAAAAAAAGATTTTATTACACTTTTACACCTAACTTAATACTATCCTATATACCTCCTAATGGCAAGTTACCCTTGTTAGGTCATGTATTGTATCCTCGACCTGTGTGTTGGGATTGATATTTTCTGTCTCAGTTCCAATTAAATACATAAACGTGATACACTGTGACTGTAAAAAGAAGTAAATTAAGGGTTTCTTTGTTGTAACAAGATATTTCCTGACCTGAAGCTATAGAAATAGTGATATAAATAATTTATAATCAACCAATAAGACAGAGCTTTGGGGAAATATAAAAGTGAAAATATGAAATCTGGAAAAAAGAATACAAATATAAGGTTTGAAGTGTGGGTCTGGGGTGTAAATAAGGATGATAGCAGAGGAGTCTCACTGATAAAAAATATATATATATATATATATATATATATATATATATCGACATTAAGAGACCTTTTCACTAAAATGTCACAGTTCAAATGATTTTGGAGAAGAAATCAGTTGAATATATTATTTCAGGTGATTCACGCAGGTAACTAATTCCTTTAAAGGACCACTATAGTGCCAGGAAAACATACTCGTTTTCCTGGCACTATAGTGCCCTGAGGGTGCCCCCACCCTCAGGGACCCCCTCCCGCCCGGCTCTGGGGAGAGGAAAGGGGTTAAAACTTACCTTTTTCTAGCGCTGGGCGGGGAGCTCTCTGCCTCCTCTCCTCCTCTGATCCTCCTCCTGGGCTGAATGCGCACGCGCGGCAAGAGCTGCGCGCGCATTCAGCCCGTCGCATAGGAAAGCATTTACAATGCTTTCCTATGGACGCTTGCGTGCTCTCACTGTGAAAATCACAGTGAGAAGCACGCAAGCGCCTCTAGTGACTGTCAATGAGACAGCCACTAGAGGATTAGGGGGAAGGCTTAACCCATTAATAAACATAGCAGTTTCTCTGAAACTGCTATGTTTATAAAAAAATGGGTTAACCCTAGAAGGACCTGGCACCCAGACCACTTCATTAAGCTGAAGTGGTCTGGGTGCCTAGAGTGGTCCTTTAAGTCAATCAATACCTGTGCTATATAGTAACGTAGTCAAACATTGAGTAAACAAGACATCAGCCTGCTTCAAAATTAACTCCTTATAGCTTTCTTGAACTACAACTAGTCAGTTGAAGGATGGCTAATACCTGGAGGGATTTTTCCTGGCCCCTCACCAATGGGCATTGAGGAAAACATTGATATCACAGAGAAGGTTGGTTTGCAGATGCCTCTATTTAATAATTTTGGATAAACTGTTAAACTGATTTAATATTTAGATTTTTTTTTTAAGTTTATGAAAAAATATATATATAATCATTCACTAAAGAATAGTCCAGGTGGTTTTTATTAATGAACTTAAAAAAATATGAATGCACAGCCTACTGTTGTCTTACTTATAAAGGAGGTTTTCTTGACAAAGCAGTGAACTGTTTCTAAAACACTGAGGTTTTTCCATGACATTCTGGATCCCATGGACCACAAAGGTGAAAATCTGACAGAAGAATACCTAATACTAAAGCACAAACTGAGCTTGCCACTGGGTCCCATAGCTGAAGTCCCATAGGGTCATACTTCCCACCATAGGGCTTATAGAACCTGGGCAAGGGTGGGCAGGGCTCTGCAAGGGCAAATGAGGATAGCCTCACCCAAAAAATGTTCAGACTTTCCCAGAAAATGGTTGGGTCTTGCCCACTGATACTCTGCCTGGTCTGGTCAATCTGGTCAACCTACTGAAGCTCTCCCAGTATGGTACTAGTGCCAACTTCACAAAGCAAATGCACCTAATAATGTGCTCATGCTCTGAAGCTCAGAAACAGTTCTATTGTGTCCTTAGATGCAAGACACCAGGGAGCTTAAGTGGGATGGTGGGAAAGGACCTCAAAAGGGGGACTGTCCCACCAAAAGTGGAACTGTTGAGAGGCAAGTAGGGTGTCCATGCCTCCTTTCACTGAGAGTTCTCTTGCTTTCATCCCCACTCAACAGTGCAATGGGTGTTCATATCTCAACCCCCTAACAGTGCCCACTCTCTGAAAATGTACAGTGCAGCAAAAAAATAAAATAAAACAATGGTAGTGAGATGAGGCATTCGCTTTATCTAAAAAAAGTCTAAATGCTTGGATGTTATACAGACACTACAAGATGAAAGTGTAAGTTATCTGAAGGACTTCTTGTAACATGCAGACTGATTGGTAAATTAGATTTTAAACGTACAGATCTAACCATCCCTATGAGTTCAGATTACCAATCTTTTCTACAGTTCATTTGGAAAGATAAGAAATTGCAATTCACGTGCCTGTGATTTGTGCTCTCTTCATCCATTGGTGTTTCACAAAAAAATAATGAAATAGATAATTTATTTTCTAAGGAGCAATGGCATCCGAGTGAACATTTACTTTGATGACATACTCATTATGGCACAGGATATTGTCAGTTTATGAAGAGAGTTCAATTTGAGAGACCTAAGATTCATTACAAATTGGCAAAAGGACATTTCACAGGCCGTCAAAGAAAATAGCATTCCTGGTTTTTATTGCAGAGTGAGCACACAGTTTCTACAAGTAGGTAGCTGAATCAATCAGGAAAGAGATCAGAAGAGTCTTGAAGAAAATCATAGGAATGCTTTCTGCTTCTATTCAAACTGCCTTCCCAGGTCTACTTCATCACAACACATCGAGGGAAGGCTTACCTTATTCAACACAATTCTGCTTTCCTGGAAAGATGTCAAGAACCGATATTGTGGAAGCATTAATTTGCAGAAAAAGTTACAGAGTTAGATAAAAGAAGGTAAGAATGATTATGTTGCAGAGATTCAATAAACTTGTGCATGGTGAGAAAATGTGGCTCGGCCGAATCATTTTTCCTGGAATTTCGGTTATACGTCGATTCAGCTTGGCAAAATTTGGGTTCCAAAAAACTGATTCGAAAAACGAATGAAACTAATCAAAAGTGGGCAAAAATTGGCCTATCAGTGCACTGCTATATATATTAATAGTATGTATATATTTTGTAGCACACTGCTAGGCACATTTTCCCGCTGATTAGTTTGGCAGATTAAATGAGAAAAAGTAACCAATAGAGGGGAAAAAAGATGGGTTACCACAGCAACATTGATACAATATCCCCGGCACCAGCCGGAAAGATCTGTCTGCACTCACCACAACAAGTAGGTTACCATTTCAAATGCAACACAACAAGCAGCCACTACACACACTCAACCGCACAAGCAGCAACTCGACAAACATACAATCCCACAAGTGTAGCAACACAAGCAACCTCCTTACGCATACATACACCCTCGCACTAACGCATCCAATCACTTGTGCCAAACTTTTGTATATAGATATATATATGAGGCATTGAGGAAACTGGCCATGGGGCAACAAGGAGGGTAAATCAGGCCCTGATGAAGGAGTCAGCCAGACATGAACTGAAAGAACTGTATTACAAGGGAAACAAGCACAATTTATAAGAAATATGGAAGAAGTACATGCTTCCACGGTGCCTATAGCTCTGTAAGATTTATCTTTCGTGGTCTGGTGCCTCTCTGGATGATTCCCTCACAGCCATTTTAAATATATTTTTTTTATACACTTTATCTATGGTAACTAATACCACTACCACCCATGGCAATAAAAAGTAAATACTTGAGAGTGAACAATACCTCTCAGTAACTGTGACCTTTCGTGATTACTAAACTCACAATTATTATTAAAGTGCCCAACCAGTAGATAGTGGATAGAATTATGAAAATGACCTTGGTGGTCACAACCTTTTTATTACTGTTTCCCTACCTCCTCCTTACCAATGCTTGTTTGTCTCTGCAAGGGTTTACTAATTACTCCTGAAGACTGTTAATATAGATATTCTGGTGGCAGATAGGTCTTTGAAAGGATAAAGTTATGCTTTCAGCTAATAGGTCATCATGGAGTTGAATGGAAACTATGTGAAGGAGAGGGTGTGTGCTCACTCTGCAATAAAAAAACAGGAATTCTATTTATATATTTATGTATGTATATATACTTGTGGTTGGGGACAATATACATACACACACACACACACACACACACACACACACACTCTCTCTCTCTCTATATATATATATATATATAGAGAGAGAGAGAGAGAGAGAGAGAGAGAGTGTGTGTGTGTGTGTGTATATTGTCCCCAACCACAAGTATATATACATACATAAATATATAAATAGAATTCCTGTTTTTTATTGCAGAGTGAGCACACATATATATGTCGTTGTATGTGTAATGGTGTGTTTATTGGTGTATACAGTGTGGGTGAATGTACATATGTGTTGAGGAGTGTGTATATTTGTGTGCAGATATATGTCTGAAGGAGTCTGTATGTACAGAGATGTATATACAAGGGAGTGTGTGCACAGATATATGTGTAAAAGAAAGTCTGTGTACAGATTTTGAAACAGCTGATCAAATCGTGTTTCTGTGGATTTTTACTTTTCCAGAAAATCATGCCAGTAAGATCTTTATGATGGCCAGTGCACTCTCATTTGACAGAGGTACAATTTCTGCTCCTGCATTTATTTTGTGGAGTGCCACAAAAGTGTAAAATGTCTTCACATTTTCCTATATGTCCTGAACAGTCTGTCTCTTTTCCTAAATATTGCTTTAATCTCTCTATTTTCCCTGAATGTCTCTGAGTCTTTTTATTTCCTTAGCACTCCACATCATTTGTATGTGCTTCCATAGTCTTTGTTTTTGTCTTTTATAAAGACAAAAGAGTAAGATGTTTAGAAATGTAGTGGGTGGAGTCAAACTCCATGGAGCCCCCAATTTTTTATTATGTAGCATGAACAAGGCCAGTTCTACATAACTATAGATCCACATATAGGGAACGTATCCTGCAATATGTTGCTTGTTTGAAAGGTATCACATGAAGTACAGCTACTACTACCTTTGCAATTAGATTATTCACAATCAATGTATGTTGTACGGATGTAAAAAGTAAGTTTACAACTGTGTATATCTTGAGAACTTTGTAACTTGTGGTCAAATAACAAATATGTTCAATGCTTACAGAATGTGCTGTTTATATCCACACCTATTTAATACTACTTGAAATCATTTATTAAAATATTATTATTTCAGTATAAACCCAGAAAAATATATATTACATTCCATATTCGCTAAAAAAACTCACTAAAGAATTAGTAATCACTGACAAAGCTGGGTATATGAATGGTTTACAGACATTTGAATAAAGATGCTGTTAACAGCATCTTTTTCATGAGCAATCTTTGATATTTTCTTAACAAGATATGTTGAACCTGGAGATACAGCTACATTTTCGAGTATTTATACATATGATGAAATTCAGTCCACATGGAATGTAAGGATATTGCATTGCTACCCAGGAATGCAGGTTTGTCACAAGGATATTAAAGTTTACATTAGATTATTTCCTATCTCAGTGTGTTTATTATCTTCCTTCTCGGAAATGAAAGACATATATAATGTCGATCACTCTATAATGAGTAGAACACCTTGTTTGTTCTCTCGTTTGAGAAGTTTATCAATGTGTGTTTAAGGATAGAATAGTTAGTGCTGCGGTGTGATTAAACCTCTTTGCCATTCAGCATCTCAAATGAGATTCAATTATATTCACACAGTAAAATGTTCCAATGAATATATTCCAAATGGTGTTGTAATCTACAATTCTTTTTTGGTTCGCTTGAAAAATAGATATTTTCCACGTTATGCAACTGTTGGATATCAGCCTTGAAAATCTTTTCAGGGGAACACAAATATTTCAAAAAATGTAAAGTATCTATTTATTAAAGAATAATAACTGCAAACTTTAAGTTAATTAACTTTGGAAAAATTAAAAGCTGGGTTTACCCAGCTGGTCGTCAAACCTACTTATAAACCTTTGGACCATGCACTCAAAATCTACTTGATCTTTTCTCTGTCTGCTTTTGTATTATTTAATGTAACAATATCTATACTGAATTTATGGATGCTTTAAAATGGTAGAGATGTATAAAATATTTCAGTGTATTTAATAACCTGGTTCTGCTATATTTACTTAAATGGGTCAGGACTGATTAACATAGCCCATCCCTTTCTAGAAATAATTCTGCAAAGATCCATCAGTGGTCCACTTTAAAAGAAAAAACCTTCCACATCCATAATGTAATCATTTACTTAAAATGGTATATGTTCCACAATTGTTAAACTGCCCAATGTTCAAAGCAATTGGAGGAAAAGACGCTGACCGCACTGTTTCTTTTTGGACAGTGGCACATTTTTTAAGGGGCACATTAAAGTTATGAAATATACATATTATTTGTATTAGCTTTGGTTGAGAAAGTTCAAATTTGTTTACTATTCTAAAGCATTACTAATTATGAATTATACATATAATTTTAAAAAAAAAATTGTAATACATGTTCTGTAGAATAATGCAAAAATTTAACAATTTCTCAACAATATGCTGTTACACAATGATGACTGCTTCAGTTTTCAACATGTCCTAATTTGCCTTGCGAAGAAGTCCCTCTGTTTAGTTTAGATAAGTCAGATCTTCTGCCCCTTTGTGACCTTAGCTTGATATATGTGATTCAAAAAGCTAGATGGCTTTAGTTAATCTTGTCTTTGCTAAGTTTACAATGCGATACATGAATACACATACGTTTTATTGTCTGTTTATGTTACACTACAAGACACAGAAAAAAATATCTGTGTTGTTTTACAAAGACAGTTAAGGGTAGAATATGTTGGTAATTAACCCCTTTAGGACTGAGGCAGTTGTACAAGTTGTAATCAAAACATAAACAAAACCTTGAATTTGCGCTATATGTCTGTTAAGGCGTTATTCACCTCTTTCATATTATGTGCACCTACACTTATCATATATAATTTTGTTCAGAAGAAACAGGGCTTTCATATCACATTAAATATTTGTATATCATACATAACTTAATATGAATAAAATATAAAAAAAATTAGAAATTAAGATTTTTTTAATTTTTATTTTAGTTGTGCATGGCATTTTAACTGTGAATGACACAATACTGTTAGCTGTTACTGCATGAAAGTACACACATCTCACGAATAAAACAGTGACCCCAATACACAGATTTTATGGTGTTTTGAAAAGTTACATTACACTTTTCAGTTTATACACATTGAAATTTGCCAGACTGGTTTTGGTTGTCTTTGAGACCAAATGGTAGCCCAGGAATGAGAATTACCCCCATGATGGCATACCATTTGCAAAAGTAGACAACCCAAGGTATTACAAATGGGGTATGTCCGGTCTTTTTTAGTAGCCACTTAGTCACAAACACTGGCCAAAGTTAGTATTTATATTTGTTGTGTGTGAAAAATGCAAAAAACTAAATTGAACACTACTTTTGGCCAGTGTTTGACTGAGTGGCTACTAAAAAAGACTGGACATACCCCATTTGTAATACCTTGGGTTGTCTACTTTTGAAAATGGTATGCCATCATGGGGGTAATTCTCATTCCTGCGTTACCATACGGTCTCAAAGGCAACATAACCAATCTGGCAAATTTCAATGTGAAGAAAAGGAAATTCAAGCCTTATTTTTTTTTATTTTTTTTTAAACACCATAAAACCTGTACATGGGTGGTACTGTTATACGCAGGAGACTTCGCTGAACACAAATATTAGTGTTTCAAAATAGTTAAATGTATCACAACAATTATATTGTCAGTGAAAGTACAGCTCTTGTGTGAAAAATGCAAAAAACAGCATTTTTACTGACGATATCATGGTTGTGATATGTTTTACTGTTTTTAAACACTAATATGTGTGTTCAGCAAGTAAAACAGTACCCCCCATGTACAGGTTTTATGGTGTCCTGGAAAGTTACATGGTTAAATATAGGGCTTGCGCCAAATTCTCTGGACTTTCTGCCTGGGTTGTTGGGCAGGTCCATGAGATTGTAATTGATAAAATGACTTAATAATTTAAAAATATTTTAAAAATATATTTGTAGAATTTAAAAATATGTATATATATATATAAAGACCAAAAAAGTCCTGGGCTGCACTCACGGTCTTTAGAATGAAAAAATTTGTTTATTCCATAAAATGACAGAGATCAACGTTTCGGTCCACACAGGGACCTTCTTCAGGATCAAATGACATCAGATGTCGCTGGATGTCCTCACGTAAGTAAAATCCCCATAGGAAAGAAGCAATGAGCAGTAGTCCCCCCCTTCTAATTAAATCAGAAGAGATGGTGCGCCAACACAACACTTTGAACAGTATGAACAGTAAAATAAATTACTTTCTAAATATGCAACAACAAAAAAATATGAAAGCAGCGAGCTTTGTTTAACTCCACTCAGAGTTGTATCAATTATTTTTGTGTTATGTTGTATCATTCTTTAGCATCTCTGTTACTTACAATAGCTGTGAGTGATGTAATTATGTAATCATAAAACAGAAATTTGGGGCTTTATCACTTTTTTATAAAGGGAGTGGGGCATTTGGACTAGATTAACTTCAAAACCACCTCCTTACTCCTGATTGCATGAAGTCAAACATAGATATTAGATAGCTCACTTAATAAGGTATACATTGTATTTAAAGGTGGGGTTGGCAGAGATTGGTGAGGTGGGGCAAGGTCTGGACTTTTACTGATTGGGGACATTAATAACACTTAACTCCAAGAATCACAGTGAGTGAGGGGTAGATATGAAATTCCCAGACACTGCATACTTCAGTGACCATGGGATTAAAGTCCTGATGAGGAGGACAATTTAAGGAAGATGAAGGGCAAGGTGGAGTGGGGATTTTCTTTTTACCTACAACCTTCATTCATTACTTTAATCCTCACACTTCTAATAGCTATGATAAAGAGAGTTAATTAAAAGGTTAACAGTAAATACATTTTCTTTTGGGGTTTTGTCAACATATACATTTACCCTTTAATTGTCCCCAACATCGGGTCACATGACTACAGACTTGAATTAATCTGACCCAATAAAAAAAAAAAAACTATGAATGATAAAAATTCTACATTACTAAGCCATTCTGTCTGTGCATGTAATCATTAATTACAAATACAGGAATGCTGTTTGATATTATATATATATATATACGTATATATATATATATATATAGATAGATATATATATATATATTAATCAACATGTTATATCTAGCATGTG